TCCCTACAGAAACATTAAGTCAGCTCCATTCCCTCAGAGGAAATGGCAGCAGATCACAGGGAGTTTATCCTGCTAGATTACTCTCACTTGAACTACAGTATTCTGTAGTGACTTCTTACTGTGCTTTCCCTGGTTGATACTCTTTCATCAGTCTTCATAACTGAGAACTGCATATCACTGGGATCTGAGTTCACTGAGGTCTGCAAGAAAAGTTTAGGTTGAGAAATCAACAGTTAAAGTAGCAAATTCTGAAGATAAATAATTGCATTATTCTTGCCCTGTACAATTTAGCAATGAAGACACATAAAATTGTTGCTGCATTTAGTACTAAAACCAAGCAAAATGTTGGAGAAAACACAGTTTCAGTTTGGATCATCATAGCACGTTAGCACAGAATATACTGAAAAAAATCTCTAGAAAACAGACAAAAATATAAATCCAAATAGAAAAGATCCAGATGAAGAAAACTTGCAAGGTGATGTTACAGACAGTACTAAGTGAGACAGTACAAACAAGGTCAATCACACAAATTCAAAGAAGGAGGACCACAAATAATGCATACAGGTTAAATATTTACAGTGCACTTCCAAATGAGCATAGCTGATGGGGTTTAGGTAGTGACAGCAATCAAGTTGCTTTTGTAGTCATACTTCATAAGCCTTGCCCAGATCTCTGCTGTCTCCACTATACTGCTCCTGCTACCTAAGCCAGTCAGTTTAAAGCACAGACACAGCCTAATAAATTTATTTGGGTATTCTTCTGCACTTGTGATCTTCAGACATAAAAATGGAAGCATATGAAATAAACTACAAAAGATTTGCTCTTTGAAAACTGTGAGTGGAAACACTGTTCATGAAGTTAAAAAAGTGAATTCTAATTATTCACACATCATGCAGCAGCTGTCACTGCTTGGAGGGACTGTGATGTGTGCAAACAAACAGAATGCTTAATTTGAGAATCTGAGGGTACTTGGAGAAAGCATTGGAATCAGCCTCTCAACAGTGCAGTGGAGATCCAGCCTAGGAGTAATCCTTGCACATGAGAGCCAGGATCTTTGTTTAACCACACAAAAGCAAAACCAACACTGAAAGCATTTCTTAAAGTCACATCAGAGCTGTTCTGTGCTGATGCTGGGGAAGTCAACCTGAGCCTGCACCCACAGGATCCTCTCCTAACAGACACAAATCAGCACCAAGGATGACACAATCATGTTTAGGCAGGACCACAACAGAATTCCAAAGACTCTAATATCATAAATCAGGTTGCATAACACAAGAGGCTCAGATGTTTGGATATGCCCTCATCATGAGGTTTCCCAAAGGTTCCCTGTCCTTGAAAGCACTGGGATTCAAAAGGTGCAAGGTCACACAGGTCCCAGCTTTCCTGTGAACCAGGAGTACTAATGCATGCCTCAAAATCAAATGTGGGTTATAAACACTACCTGTCTTATAGTATCCCCTTCCTGATTGCTAATAGTAATCATTTTGTCTTCACCACCCAGAGCCAGGAGGTTTTCAGTACTCCAACAGCCACAGGTAATCCTCTTAGTGTGCTTACCTGAAAAAGAAAAAAACCTGTACAACACAAATGAACACACTACCAAAAAAGTCTGTGATGGAAATACACTTTGTATGGCCATTCAAACACAGACTGTCAGAATGTGAAACAACTCATCAGGGCAACCACAAATTCACCAGCCTTTCCTTTCAAATCCTCTACTCCCAGGTGAAAAGTCTTTAGACCCTATAGGAAACAGCACAGCCCCTGGTCTTTTGTCTCTTTGTATCATGTTTCTGGGGACTGTGTTACATCCTTAGCCTTTATGCCCAGATGTACTCTAAGCAAGTAAGAAAGAGTAACTTAGCAACAAGAACAACCACACAAATCCTTTGCAAGAAAGATAACACACTTTCCCCACAAGGCAATATCAGGCATGTGAATATCTATATTTAACTTACTATACTATAAAAACACTCTGCTGAGTACAACAAAAGAGAAGGTGCAAGTTGAGTATTGGCACATTTTTAACCTGATTGTTCATACAGAGAACTAAAAAGGAATCTAAGTATATTAGCAAAATTCCACTTTCACATGTGGGAGATTAATTTCAAAGCAAAGCATACCAAGAACAGAAATCTTGCGAGAAGTTTGATGGTTATATATGAGTAAGTTTCCCTTTGTTGTTCCAACAGCAAGTAAAGTTCCAACTCGAGACCATAACAAGAAAGACATTGCATCCCTAAAATAAAGAAAAATTTGACTTTGTATTGTAAAGATTCCTTTCATGTGCTCACATATGAAAACAGTTTGCATGTTTGTTTGGAAGCTCTGGAAGATCTCACAGACCAAGCAGAATTTTTAAATTAAGCAAATGTCCTCTCTGAGTATCAGAATTATTCAAGTATACACAAAATAATAAACCTAATAAAAAGTTGTATAAGGTGACATGTATAACATGACTTGTACAAATGGAAATGTGTCTGCAAACATCAACAGTCTGTGATGGAGTCATGGGTAATTTGGTCAAATACACAGCTTTAAAAAACACTGAAATATCATGAAGGTGTGTGAAATTTTCCAGACACTTTTTGTATTTTTTTTTTGTACTTCAATAATCCTGTGAATTCAGCCAACTCAAAAGTCTAGTTCTAGTCAGTGTAATAAGGAATTAGAAAGATCCATTTCAACTTGATGTTTCAGATACAGCAAGGCCTAATTTTGTGGATATTTAGGGCTGCACAGACAAATATTATACATCACATTTAGAAACGGAGTCTCTTGAGCAAAAAAAGAAATTTAAATCAGAATTTTCTAAATAGTGCAGTTACTTCCATCAATGCCACTCCCATCTTTTTAAATTTTACTGTAAGCATGCAAGAGCAATTTGAAACAAATCTCAGATATTGACACATGAAATTACCTCCAATACATATTTGACTTGCATATGAGAGGTTTTGTTTGTGCTTCCTCTGATTTCAAAAAGGTGAAGATAGCAGAAAAGCCTAGTTATCAGACCATTTATATGTCAGTGCTTATTCTGCTTTAGCAATAACACTGTGACAAAAGGACTGATTATACTGTTCTGGCAAAACTGCCTCCAGTAAGTAATTTACCTCAGGTATTACTCCATTCTCCTCAGTACCTTCTAGGATGTTTTTTGCTTATACACTGGCAATTTACTCTTCCCCCACAGTATTTGTTCACACATAAAAAGGAGGTACAATATGGTCTATTCATTCACACATTATAACATGTATATCCATCTTAACAAACATAGGACAGATTTGTTTCCACTCTCTTTCCTACAGACAGAATGTTTATGTAGAACACAGGAGTTTAGTGAAATAGATTCAAAGGAGCCAAATGTTTCACTGTTAAATCAAGCTTGTTTGTTAACCCAATGCTTGATTGTTACTTAGGCCTCAGAAGAGTTTGAAGTCTGTGGCCAAGTTCAGAAAGGTAAAGCTTTGAACCTTAGGGCAGGATTACCTCAGATATCTCCTCCCATCCTATAGCCAGTCTGCTTTGTAAACAGCATTTTAGTGCCCTTATAAATCTAAGGGGAAAATCTAGCATCACTGCAATCACTTCCCTTTTAAGCTCCCTTTAAGTCAGGTGAAATACTTTAGAGAAAGTGTAGCCAGTGCAGACATACAAAACTTCACCCATCCTTGCTGCCACCACAAAGTGGAAATACTGAAGAGAGGCTCTCTAGAGACTTAGGCAGGGCTGACAACCAAAGCAGAAGCAAAACCCCTATCAATCCCCCCACAACAAACAATTCAAAACCAGCAAATCACATCCAAAACAATTTAGCACCAAACAGTAACATATTTACTTAACAGTATATGTACTACGAGGACTCCAACAAAAACAAGATCTTTGCACATTAACAAATCACAGTGGTCTCAGCCTCCAAATACACACGTTAAAAAAACCCAATTTCTTACCTCATGCCACTGTCAACTTGGCTTGTTTTGTTTGTGCTTGCATCCCACAGAAATATGGTGCTAGACTTGTCTGTGATTACTGCTAAAGTATCACCATCCTTATCCCAGTCCATGGCAACACAGTTGCTGAAGAAAAAAACCAATCAGTAATAATGTTAAAGGGTGTCTGGAAGTGTGCAGAAACAGCCAGAATTATACAGCTGAAGTTCCTGTCCTTTCTTTTCCTTCCCAAACAAACCCACAACAGATTGCAGATTTACTTGTAAGCTGCACTTTTATAGTAACCACATCCTTACTCAGATCTCATCAAAATGAGAGGCTGAAATGAAAGGCATAAAAGAGAAAGTGCTACCTACATTCTAGGACTTGAAATAGTGCCACCTTGATTTTTAAGAGACAGTGAAAACCCCCTGTGAGATTCTGGTTTGTTAGAGGCTGTTCAGAGTTGGGATTGTTTTTCTCATAGTTCAACAAGCAGAACTGACTTGGACAAGAAAGCTATGCAGACTGGTAAGTAGGAAACAACACAAATTCTATCAACATAATGGTAAGAAGATGCCTATAACATCAGTTACTGTAGTAGAGAATATTTGACATTCTGAACTCCATTCTCACATAAAATGAGGTCTAGCAGTTAGCAACTGCAGCTGGTTAACAGTTAACCAACAAATAAAGAAGCAAAGTTTGGCCTGAGGAGAGAACCTTAGCACACTTGTTTCTGTTCAAACTGCCTATCACAAAAACTGAATTTTATTCTAATAGCAGTATTTAGAGAGAATGTATCCTTCAATCTCAGCAAAAGGCTGGGAAGCAATAATTCAAAAGAACTACCTAGCATAGGTAGAAGATTTCCTGGCAGGCCTCAGAAAGTCAACACTATTCAATCTACCACACGCAGATGTTAATTATTTCAACAAGCCTTTAGGATGTGGTTATTATACAAGCTATTATACAAGTGGTTATTTTGTAAGTTTCTTCTACTCTTTGCCTTGCCATGAGAACATTACAAAACTGGTTTAGATGTTATATGCTTCCCAAGGAAAGGCTCAGGTGGTGCTATCAGTGCCCATCCCTAAGGCAGACAGTCCTTCCCATCACCTTCACCAACCAATTCTGGCTCATATCTACCAATGACACAGGGGTATGTAACTTTAAAGTCAGCCTCTAGATTAGAGGCTTCAGATTTAAAGCCTTATTGGGAATTTTGCCTGGACAAAACTTTGTTGAAAACAACAAGGAAAATAATTTAAACCAATCTTAGTACCTACCCTGGTAAGCTGATTTCATTTCTCTTCTGACCATGACGATCAAAAATTTTCACAGCACGATCACCTCTAAAAAAGATTGACATATAGAATAATTCCCTTTCTTTATCAGTGATTCCTATGGAAAAATGCAATAAATGTTTGCCATCTTACCCTGTCACAGCAAAGAAATTTCCTAAGGTTTTCTGCCAAGCAAACTGCAGAGGGGAACCAGACCAAGCTTTTTCATACAGACTGAATACTTGCTGGGGAGAAATTAAAAAAAAAAAAAGTGGAAAATTACACATCTTAAAATCAACAGCTACTACAACTTCCTAACATAATACTTGCTGGGGAGAAATTAAAAAAAACCCAAAAAATGGGAAATTACACATCTTAAAATCAACAGCATATAAGAATACTACAACTTCCTAACATGTTAGCCACTGAGTACTGTGGAGGTAAAAAACCTCAAAACAATCCTAACCCAACCTCTGTGTGATTCTGATGCTTATTAAATGTTTGACTTTTGCACACTGAACACATAGCAAAAAATATGACTGATTTTTGCAAATTACAGCTACTATAGGTGACAATTCCTTGAGATATGCTATTGCCAATGAGTCTCTGAATATAACGATCCACAGTATGCTATTGCCAATGAGTCTCTGAATATCACGACCCACAGCAGTACTGATTTATATATTATATTAATTAATTTAACAGTGTAGCATACCCTAACTGGAAGATTTATCTTAAACTAAAAGGTTACCAGAGCATTGCACTGTATTTTGAAGCAGAGAAATATTTTCAGGGGGGTAAATTTTTCTTGCTGTGTGTAGGTATTTATACATGGGTCAGTACTTCAAAAAGATCCAAGAGCGAAAGTTAAACGCTCCTAGAAACCGTTCAAAACACACCACTACAAACTCAGCGCAGCTGAGAGCAATTTGGGAGGTGGCAGAGGGGGGTGGGGAATGAGACGATCCTTAAACTCCCTTCCCACCCAAACCATTAATTACAGGGAGGTGCAGACAAACAGGGCAATGGCCAAAATTTCCCAGCTCCT